CCCCCCCATAACCCCCCCGTTCTGCCCTTCCCCAGGCCGTTTCCGTTTCCGCCGCCCCGACTCCCTGCGCTCCCTGCTGAGCCGCGGCCTGGCGCCGTTGCTTTACGCGGACGACAGGGGGCGCCCGACCTCCTCGTACCCCATGAATCCCAACGGCTCCCCCGGCGCGGTGGCGGCGCTTTGCTCCCCTTGCGGGCGGCATTTGGCGCTGATGCCCCACCCCGAGCGGGGGGTGCTGAGGTGGCAGTGGCCCCATTGGCCCCATAAGTGGGGCGGGGAGTGGGGGGCGGCCGTGGGGCCGCGGTGGGGCGGAGAAAAGGGGGTGGCGCAGGGGGGGGCGGCGCCGTGGATGAAGATGTTCCTCAATGCCAGGGAGTGGTGCGACGGCCCCATAGATTGACCCACAGATGGACCCATAGATTGACCCATAGGTGGACCTTGGCCCCATAGATTGACCCATAGATTCACCCATAGGTGGACCCATAGATGGACCCATAGGTGGACCTTGGCCCCATAGATTGACCCGTAGATGGACCTCGGACCCATAGATGGACCCACAGACTGACCCACAGATGGACCCATAGATTGACCCATAGATGGACCCATAGATGGACCCATAGATTGACCTTGGCCCCATAGATTGACCCACGGATAGACCTCGGACCCATAGGTGGACCCATAGATTGACCCACAGATGGACCCACAGATGGACTCCATAGATTGACCCATAGATGGACCCATAGATGGACCCACAGATGGACCCACAGATGGACCCATAGATGGACCCATAGGTGGACCTTGTCCCCATAGATTGACCCATAGATTGCCCTATAGATGGCCCCATAGAGGGACCCATAGATGGGCCTTGGAGCCATAGATTGCCCCATAGAGGGACCTCAGACCTGTAGATTGACCTCAGCCCCATGGATTGCCCCATAGATGGACCCCAACCCCATAGATCACCCCATAGATTGACCCCAGCCCCATAGATTGCCCCATAGAGGGACCTCAGACCTGTAGATGGAGCTCAGCCCCATGGATTGACCTATAGATGGACCCCAGCCCCATAGATCGCCCCATAGAGGGACCCCAGCCCCATAGATCGCCCCATAAAGGGACCCCAGCCCCATAGATGGCCTCACAACCCCATCGCTGGACCCATATAGGGTGACCCACAGCCCCACAGCTGGCCCCATAGATGGACCTCATGTGCATAGATTGCCCCATAGCTGCCCCATAAGTTGGCCCCATAGAGGACCCCATTGTGCCGCTGTGTCCCCACCGGGCGCCATTTTGGGGTAAAAGAACCCGTATTTAATAAAGAGGAGATTGCGTCTTTCGCGGCGTCACGTGACAGCGAAGCAGCGACGAAAAGCGCAGCGGCGCGGAAAGGGTTAAGCTGGGCTGGGGGCGTGGCTTGAGGTGTGACGCCACAGCGCAGTGGGCGGGGCTACGGCGCCGCGCTGAGTCCGCGCGCTCAGAACCGGAAGCGGAGCCCTCAGGGCCGGAAGTCGACCGCGGCGGAGAGGGATCCGCCCTCGAGGGACCGGAAGTCGGATCCGGGGGGCCGGAAGTCGACCCCTGAAGAGAGGGATGCGTCCGTAAGAGACCGGAAGTTGGATCCGGGTTGCCGGAAGTCGACCCCTGAAGAGAGGGATGCGTCCGTGAGAGACCGGAAGTCGGATCGGGGGGCCGGAAGTCGACCCTTGAAGAGAGGGATCCGCCCTCGAGGGACCGGAAGTCGGATCGGGGGGCCGGAAGTCGACCCCTCTATGGAAAGTGAAAGTGTTGTTTCTGCATTGAATGCTGAAAAGGGCGATTGGTCGGAAGAGTTCAGCGGGGCCGTGTGCTCAGAAACAGCTGGTTCCATTGGGTGCCCGTTGGGCGCCATTTTGGATCCCCTTGGGTTCCCACTGGGTTACCGTTGGACGCCATATTGCTTCCCATTGGGTTCCCATTGGATTCCCATTGGGTGCCGTATTGGTTCCCCTTGGGTTCCCCTTGGGTTCCCATTGGACACCATATTGGTTCCTCTTGGGTTCCCATTGGATTCCCATTGGGCGCTATATTGGTTCCCATTGGGCGCCATATTGGTTCCCATTGGGTTCCCATTGGGTTCCCATTGGGCGCCATTTTGGATCCCCTTGGGTTCCCATTGGGTGACCATTGGACGCCATATTGGTTCCCATTGGGTTCCCATTGGTTTCCCATTGGGCGCCGTATAGATTCCCACTGGACGCCATATTGCTTCCCATTGGGCGTTATATTGGTTCCCATTGGACGCCATATTGGTTCCCATTGGATTCCCATTGGGCGCCATATTGATTCCCATTGGGCACCATATTGCTTCCCATTGGGCGCCATTTTGGATCCCATTGGGGTTCCCATTGAGCTCC